TCCCTTTCTTCTTTCTTCTGAACAAATTCGGTGACCCAGTCAGGTTCTCCGCCAGGCCTCGGGGTGTCAGAGGGCTCTTGGCAAGAGGAGGAAGATGGGAGCGAGTTCTGCCCACCACACGTGGGGCCAGTCCTGGGTGCAAGGAGACGAGCCTCTGCCTGTAATCTCTTCTGTTCAAAGTCACGGAGCCAGGAGAGGGCCCCACAAATGAGACTTAAGGACTTGCCCTGCAGGAAGAAAGATGACCTCAGACAAGGCCAGCAGCAAAGCTTCCCGGAAGGACAGCTTCCCCAGTTACCAGTAAGAAGCTGTACTTCTAAGCATGAGGATGCTCTGAGACCATCTAGAAAGGAAACGAGTTAGTAGCAGAGTCCACAGAAACAGGCAAGGAGGTGTAAAACCTGGTCCAAGAAGCAGTAACGAGCAGCTTTGAAACCACATACCTCCACGTTCCAAAAGAATTCAAGTGTTTTCTCAACTTACAAACACTGCAAGTTAATATAACTAAACAATGGTGGAAAAAATTCACTAATAGCCAAGAAATACAAAGCATGAAATCCATCTGGGCGGTGGTGGCGCACGCCTTTAATCCCAGCACTCTGGGAGGCAGAGGCAGGTGGATCTCTGTGAGTTCCAGGCCAGCCTAGGCTACAGAGTGAATTCCAGGAAAGGTGCCAAAGCTACACAGAGAAACCCTGTCTTGAAAAAAACAAAAACAAAAACAAAAACAAAGCATGAAATCCCAAATTCTTGCCAAGGCCACATTCGACTCTAACTTTAAGGCAACTGAAGTCCAGACTCAACATAATCAGTCACACTCATCCCTACTATTGAAGACGACTGCTGTCCACAACACTGTTCTTGACTAAGGTCAGTTTTCCATGGTCCCTTTCACAGGCTGACATGCATCCCCTGTGCTGAACTCTAACTCCAGTATCTCAGGATGTGAACTTCCTGGAAACGGAATCACGGTGGGTCCAATTAGTTAACATGAGGCTCTTAGGTGGGTCCTAATTCTTACAAGGACTGGGAACCTTATGAAAAAGGGAGGGGCATTCAGATGGAGACACCCACAGAAGAAAGGCACCATGAAGAAACACAGGAAGAAGATGGCATCTACAAGCCAAGGAGTGAGCCTGGACACCCTTCCCACATAGCCCTCAGAATGAACCAAACCTGGTACTATGTTGATTCCAGATCTTGAAACTCCAGAACTGTAAGATGCTGGATTTCTGCTGTGCACCCAATCTGTGGTACGCTATACTATGAAGTCCCAGGAAAGGGACACAGTTCTAGGGAGGCGTCTCCCAGGCTGCTGCTCCTAGGATCCATTTGGGTTTCAGATGAATCTTTAGAGCTAGCCTTCTGTCTACTGATCCCTCTGCCTACTTAGTCCAGGGTGGCTGAGAGTCTGCAGACCAGGGTTCTAGACCTACCTGCCCTGGGAGGTACATAGACTCCTCGCCTGCAATCCTGGATGAAACAGTAACTCATCTTACTAGCTCTGGGACTCGGAGCTGACTCTCAAAGCTCATTTCCATATATATGCAAAACTGGGACAGAAAACAGTAAGATCCACTCATGGAGCCCACACAAGCATTAGGATAGTGAATACACAGAAAGCAGAATACAAAAAAAAAAAAAAAAAAATACCTGGCAGTTAAGTAAGAAATGGGGTACTTGCTACTTTTAAATAATGATGGAATATCACTATCTGGAGATGTGGAATCTATCAGCTTTCATTAATATTTTGAATGGTTCTTGGCAGGATGACCCTTCTGAGGAATAGACAGATCACACAACTTAAAGAACACCCCATTGCACTGTTTCCGTTTCCAGAAAACACTAAATGGAAAGAAATCCAAGCAGCACTCCTCCAGAAGAGCCTGGGGGGGAAGGGGGTCATGTGCTGACTGTGGAAAAGAAAAACTGTCTTCAGATGTTGTTGGGCAAGACAGGTAAGACACCAGCGTGCAACAATGGTCCAGGGACAGAGCCCCTATAAACCTCACTAAAAAGGGAGCAGCAGTTCCTAAGGGTACACCCCAAATCACCTTCCAAAGTTAACAGCGTGCACTCTAACACAATCACCGATGGTAACTAAAGCCCTGCAGGCTTAGGTATTGTAAGAAGGTCATAAAAATTGCAGACTGAGAGGACTGGTTTGTCTCAAGTAATGTAAAACAGAAATAAAAAATAATATTAATAATAATAATAATAATAGTAATAATAATGGTACTAAAAGAGGTTGACTGGAACTTGTTAAAAAGCTGCAGATCCAGTCGGACTGTGGTGGCGCACGCCTTTAATCCCAGCACTTGGGAGGCAGAGGCAGGTGGATCTCAGTGAGTTCCAGGCCAGCCTGGTCTACAGAGTGAGTTCCAGTACAGCAAGTACTCACAGAGAAACCCTGTTTCAAAAAAACCAAAACCAAAACCCTGCAAATCCAAATGCTCTCCTAAGCCATAGAACAACCTTCACAAGGCACCCAGAAAATGTTCCCACTCACCATACAGAGCAGCAGTTCTCTCAACCTTCCTAATGCTGCGACCCTTTAATACAGTTCCTCATGTGTGGTGACTACCAACTATAAAGTTATTCTTGTTGCTACTTCACAACTGTAATTTTGCTGCTGTTATGAATTATAATGTAAAAATTATCTGATATGCAGGATAGCTGATATGCAACCCCTGTGAAAGGGCCATTTTTTTTACTCCCCAAAGGGGTCACGACCTACAAGTTGAGAACCACTGGTAGAAAAGGAATGAAAAGGAACAACGGAGTATCCCAGAAGACATATTTTTCTGCCCCAGAATCCTGGGTGTCAATTCTAGAGATGTACTTCTGCATACTTATAAGGATGAGGATAATTCACTGTCTTTTATTTGTTCGTTCAGAAAACTCATGTGAAGAGCCTCCTGTAGGCCAACCTTGGCAAGTTCCACAGATACCAGGCACGCAGTTAACAGGGACCAAAGGTTTTTGTATCTGTGAGGTTGAAGCCTAGAGTTTGAGAATCTTCACACCATCACATAGTACTCACC